GGTGGCTAAAAGACAAGGAAGGGAAAAGCCCGCGAAAATAGAGCAAAGGAAGGTTTGAAGAGCGGAGTGAGGACCCCAGGTGGAACAAACAACACTCCTGGCTAGCCCAATTTACATAGGGCAGGCTCAGGGGGAGGAAAAAACATATAAAAAGAGGAGCCAAAGGGCCAGGGGTCTCTCTCTCTCCCCACCACACGCGCTCATTCTCTTTGGGTTGGCATGCCCTCAGGCCTCGAGGATATATTTTCCTGTTATTTTCTAAATAAAACTGAGCTGTAACACAGAGCCATAACACTGATCTGTCCAAGAGCTATAACATGGTCTGTCTGAGAGCTGTGACAAGCCGAGGGCTTTAACGTCCCTCACTTCAAATTTTTGTTGAGACCACACAGAACCGAGGAGATTACACTCCCCTGACAGGGTATTCTTTTAGGTGATGGAGAGGCTAGGTACGAACCCTGGGGCTCTTCCATCTAGGGGTCTGGTTTTCCAGTTGGTATGTCATTTCCGTAGATACTGGGCATAGAGCTCAAAGTCCACAGTCTGGCCCAAGATGTAGTTCTGCTTTCAAGATAGAGCCTGTTCTGTCTGCTTCCTCCTTCACCTTAACCTTTCTGTGGCAAAACAGAAAAAGAGACTCAGATGTATAGAACAGACTTGTGGACTCTGGGAGAAGGCGAGGGTGGGATGTTTCAAGAGAACAGCATCGAAACATGTATATTATCTAGGGTGAAACAGATCACCAGCCCAGGTTGGGTGCATGAGACAAGTGCTCGGGCCTGGTGCACTGGGAAGACCCAGAGGGATCGGGTGGAGAGGGAGGTGGGAGGGGGGACCGGGATGGGGAATACATGTAAATCCTTGGCTAATTCATTTCAATGTATGACAAAAACCACTGCAATGATGTAAAGTAATTAGCCTCTAACTAATAAAAATAAATGGAAGGAAAAAAAAAACCTTTCTGTGCTTCAGGTGCAGCATCTATAAAATGGAGATATTGCTAACATATCTCCCTTCCAGGGCTGTTGTGAGGAATAAATGAGTTAATATGTCAAAAGGGCAGGAAACAACCTGACAAAGTCAAATATTAATAATAGTAAAAGAATCACATTTAAAAAATAAAATATATGGAATCATACAGTTAAAAAAGGACATGGAACAGTCCCTTGCATGTGGTAAGTGCTTGACATAAGGTAATCACTATTTCATTATTGGCTCTGCAAGTTTAATTGGGCCTAGAAGGCCCTTCTAGGAAGTTTGCATTTTATCCTGTTAATTCCCTGGTAGCTCTGCTGGTAAAGGATCCACCTGCAGTGCAGGAGACCCCGGTTCAATCTCTGGGTTGGGAAGATCCCCTGGAGAAGGGAACGGCTACCCACTCCAGTATTCTGGCCAGGAGAATTCCATGGACTGTATAGTCCATGGGGTCGAAAAGAGTCAGATACGACTGAGCAACTTTCACTTTCATCCTCAAGAAGAGTCAGGCTGAGCTGGTAGGTGAGAGACAGCGGGAGGGACTGGTTTGGAGACTTGAAATAACACTGAATAGCTCTCATAGAGTGGCAGGTAAGAGCCTGTTTGGAGTAGGTTCCAGAGGGAACAGAAGGGACTTACTGCTAGTCCAGTGGTTAAGAATCCACTTGCCAATGCAGGGGACACAGCCTCGATCCCTGGGTCCAGGAAGACTCCGCATGCCTTGGGGCAACTAAGCCTGTGTGGCAACTAAGCCACTACTGAGCCTGAGTTCTGCAAAAAGAGAAGCCACTGCAATGAGAAGTCCACGCACCACAGCCAGAGAGAAGTCCCTGCTCCCTATGAGAGGGTAACAGGCAGGAAGGCCAGGGGTCTCCAAAGGGAGGAAATAGGCTGCAAGCATCAGACATTTTTTATCTCTCTCTTAAGCAGCAGGAGGAAACCAACTAGTGTCATATTTTTTCCCCTTCTCTATACAAATTTAAAAAGAGGTTTCTCTTATAATTCTGTGTTGCCATAATGACACCTGGTTTCACCTGAACTTAACTTTTCTCAAACCTTGAGCTAACCAATGCATTTTTCTTTTTTATTTTATTTTTATATATTGTAGTGGTTTTTACCATACACTTACATGAATCAGCCATGGATTTACATGTGTTCCGCTTCCCAATCCCCCCTCCCGCCTCCCTCTCCATCCCATCTCTCTGGGTCTTCCTAGTGCACCAGCCCTGAGCACTTGTCTCATGCATCCAACTTGGGCTGGTGATCTGTTTCACCCTTGATAGTATACTTGTTAAAATGCTATTCTCTCAGAACATCCCACCCTCGCCTTCTCCCACAGAGTCTAAAAGTCTGTTCTGTATATCTGTGTCTCTTTTTCTGTTTTGCATATAGGGTTATCGTTATCATCTTTTTAAATTCCATATATAAGTGTTAGTATACTGTATTGGTTTTTATCTTTCTGGCTTACTTCACTCTGTATAATGGACTTCAGTTTCAATCCATTTCATCCAATGCATTTTTCTTTTGGAAATATTTGTGTTAAGCTGTGTTAATGTACTACGCATTTACCCTAGATTCTATCTTCAAGTCAGTTCTGCCTAAAGGCTCAGATTTAGGCCCAGAACCAACTTGACAAACAGTATGTTATACTCATACATTGTTTTCCTAATATATGTTAATGAAACTTTATATGGTAATCTGCTTTAAGATTCAGGCCCTGGATGACTCACCTGGTGCCATTCTCTGAGTTTTGAGACATTTCCTTTCTTTAATTAGCAGACTGCTAGTAGCTGTATAACATCTGTATAAAGACTAGCAGGGGAGTAGTTTTCTGCCCCCTTCTTATGTCTCTGTCAGAAGCTTTCTCTATCTCCTTTATACTTTAATAAAACTTTATTACACAAAAGCTCTGAGCGATCAAGCCTCATCTCTGGCCCTGGACTGAATTCTTCTCCGGTGTGTTTCATTTTTCAGCAACAACCTTTTCACCTACAGCTAGAGAAAACCCCTGTGCAGCAAGGAATACCCAGTGCAGCCAAGAATAAATAAATAAAAATGTGAAAAGAATGTACCTATCAATAATTACTAAAAATTAAAGCTTCTCCGTTCCTGGGATTCTCCAGGCAGGAATACTTGGAGAGGGTTGGCATTTCCTTCTCCAGGGGATTATTCAATGTATGTTCTTATAAAACAAAGGGAATAGAAGAACTCATGGAGACAGCAAGGACAGGTGGACTTTGCTAAAAAGAGAAGCAAATGGACAGTAACAAATGGAGAATGTGGGGCCGATGGAAGTTTTGTTTTAATGGGTGGAATTGAAGAGGAAAAGTTAAAATTTTACATACCCTCCTGTCTCTGTAACTCAGCTTGCTCCTTGCAAAGTCTGGATCACATAGGTCTCAGAAAGTGGGGACTCACACTACTAGGAACTGGAGCTTATTTCACCCTTGTCCTGCTCTTTGCAATTGCCCAATCCCAGCAAACCTGCTTAATCATGCCTGTTTCTGTATAAAAACTTTGTAACCCCTTTGTTCGGGGCTCAGAGTTTGGAGTGTTAACTCCTCTGGGCCTGCTGGTGTAATAAACCTGAGTTCTCCAACTCTCCGAGTGTGGTGCTTGGTTTCTCCAGTACTGGTTTCTGCAACAGAATGATTCTACAGAATATGAACGACGGGGTAGAATCAGAGGGCAATCCCAGTTGACTTGGGATGGGAGCCAGTGTAAAAACGGCAGGGTTTGTCTTGGAGAGAAGCGGAGCGTTGGGGACCATAATTACTTCCCCTTTACTGATGGGGAGATTGTTCCAGAAGGCTGCAATGTGGCGAAACGCGGGCTGGAACGGGGACCGCTCGTAGAGCGTCCCCTCTCCTCCACTGGAAGCAGAAAAACCCCAAGCCTGTAGGAAGAGGGGAGGGCCTACGAGGGTAAGGGAAACAGTGGAGGCGGGCCTAGGGGAGAGAGGGCTGGCCTCTGCCTTTGCAGAACTGCGGTGGGGTGGGATCACGGATGGTGACACTGGGCAAGGGATCCGTGATCGTCCGTGCTGGGCCAACGTGAAGGGGCGTACAGCATGCCTGCTATGGAAAGAGCTTTGGGCTCGGAAGGCCGGGAATCTGCAAGCCAGCAACTTGGGTCCAACGGGAGACCGGAGGAGGGCGGATTCGCCAGACTCCCGGCTACAGAAAGTCGCAGAGGGGCGTGGCTTCTTGTAAAAAAAAAGGGTGTGTGTGTGTGCGTGTGTGAGGCTTACAGCGCAAGCCAATGAGAAGCGAGGGAGGGCGGGGCCTGTGCAAGAGGCGGCCAGTAGAGACAGAGCCCTTAGAGGAGGGGCCTTGTGTCCCGGAGAGTGGCTAGGGCTCCGCGCACGCGCGGAGGGGCGCCGTGGATCCAAGTGGCCAAAAGGGCTAGGACACAGGTACTTGGCCCAGCCCTTTCAAGTCTTGCGCCAGGTCACGTGACACGCAAGGCGCCGAATTCCTTAGGAGCCAACGCCATTTCCTATGGATGAAGGATAAAGTGCCACGGGGGTAGGAGGAGCATCCTGATACGGTCTGATCTTGACTCGTGGCCTGCAGTCGGGAGTCAGATTGGAGTCCAGGCGCTCGTTGGAGGGGAGGGGCACGGCTTCAGGAGAGGGTCATGCACGCTGACTTGGGGGTGTAGTTGTGGGGTGGGCTCACCGCTAGGACGAAGATTCGGGTCCTTGATGTCAAAGAGAGGCGGGGCTTCCCGCCGACCCATTGAGAAATAGGTAAGTGGGAAATAATTGGAGACTTTGTCGCCGCATTGACCTGTGGCGGCCTAATTTAGGTGGTCGTGGAATTGTAAGGGGCGGGGGGTTCGGCTAGCGTTGCTAGGGGCGTGGCCTGGTTAGGAGCCTGGAGGTGTAAGGGGCGTGATAGTATAGGTGCGCGCGACAAGGGGCGTGGCCGGGATCTGGGCCTGGAGACGGGGTGTGCCTTCTGGATAATTTAATTGTCGCTTCCAAGTCCTAGCACTGCCCTTTCTTCCTCAGGTGTCCGCTCATGGAGACCGCGGCGGCTGCCGCCCCAGCTGAGGGCTTCTTCCCCTCTTTCCTGCTCCTGGGCTTCGGGACGCTAGTGGCCGCCTTGCTGGGCGCCGCTCACCGCCTGGGGCTCTTCTATCAGTTGATGCACAAGGTTCGGGGGCAGACAGGGGTGGCGGGCCGGGGGCAGTCAAAGGAGTGGGCTTCCGTTAGCACCGTTTCCAGCTAAGCCATTTCACAGGCGGGGAGAGTGAGGCTCCGATTAATGCAGAGCCACTGACTGATCGGGAAATTCTAGGATCCTGTTGCTATTGTGGAACTGCTTCCGGGACCCTGGACTTTGCCTCTAGGAAGAGGCCACGGGGAAACTACAGCTGCCGGGCATTCCACACCCCACCTACCCCCTTCCTTAGGGAGCCCCCCAGTCCTTTTCACTGAGCGATGCTCCCTAACATGGTGGAGTCAGAGTGCTGAGGGCAGGCTCCAGAGGATGTGGCTGGCCGTGACAGTTTTGTGAGGGTAGCTGTCTGCTCTGCTCAACGGTTTAGAGCAATTTTCCCAAGTACCCAACAGTTTGTCTTCATTTTCCACAAGCGGAAACCGAGGCTCGTAGAGGGTATGTAATGGCTTGCCTTAGGTGACCTGTTTGGGGAAGAAGTGGCCCCACAGACCTGACTCTGAACTACTTTGCTTGTGACAGAAATTCACCCTTTCCCAGACCCTCTCCCTGTCTTTTTTTTTAAAAGTCTTTACTGAATTTGTTACAGTGTTGATTTTGTTTTATGTTTTGGTTTTTTGGCTACCAGGCATGTGGGATCTTAGCTCCCTGACCAGGGATCGAACCCACACTCTCTGCATTGGAAGGCGAAGTCTTAACCATTAGACCACCAGGGAAGTCTCCCTCCTAACCTGGAGCAATGCCACTAGCCTTGTGGATTTGTAAAGATTTAAGGCAAAGGCCGGGCTTCCCAGGTGGTGCAGTGCTTGCCAATGCAGGAGATGTGGATTTGATCCCTGGGTGGGGAAGATCCCCTGGAGAAGGAAATGGCCACCCACTCCAGTATTCTTGCCTGGGAGATCCTGTGGACAGAGGAGCCTGGCAGGCTGCAGTCCGTGGGGCTGCAAAAGAGTCGGACATGACTGAGTGACTAAACAACCACAACAACAGTGGCAAAGGCCTCTGGTGTGTGGGGCTGTGTGGAAGCTGAGGCTGGGAAGCCCCAGCATGGTCTTTGTCGCAGGCTGCTCCTGTGCTAGGCACTTGGTGGTTGGCAGCCTGTGAGCCGGGCCTGGTCTGGTGGGTGGGAGGGGCCTGAGAGACTGGAGTCAGGAGTCTCCTGTGGTGGGGCCCTGATACCGGAGGGCAGGCTGTTCTGGAGTCCCAGCTGGTGGCTTCTGGCCAAGCTCCCTTGGGTTCTGTGGATCCACCTTCCTTAACCTTTCTCCCTGCTTGTGCCACAGGTGCCTTGAGAGCACTGATTCTATGGGACTTTGACTCTTGCTCAGGAGTCTTGGTCTCTGTAGTTGTAAAAGGATATATTGTCGGGAGGCTCTGATAAGATGCCTGGTGTTGCTCAGTGGTAAAGAATCCGCCTGCCAACGCAGGAGATGCAGGTTCAATCCCTGGGTCAGGAAGATCCCCTGGAGAAGGAAGGTAACCCATTCCAGTGTTTACTGAGTGGGAAATCCTATGGAGAGAAGAACCTGGTGGGCTACAATCCATGCGGGTCACAAGAGTCAGACACGATCTAGTGACTAAACAACAGCAAAGCAACACCAAGCTTCTGCCTTCCCACCTTGCCCTCCCCTCCTTCCTGGGGGAGGGGGGTAATTCCTCTTCCCACCTGCCCTGGTGCCCGCACCTTGGTCCTTGACAATCTCACTCCTCCCCTCTCCTGGCCCAGGTGGACACGGCAAGCATCCGGCATGGTGGGGAGAATGTGGCAGCCGTGCTGAAGGCCCACGGTGTGCGCTTCCTTTTCACGCTGGCCGGTGGGCACATTTCGCCAGTGCTGGTGGCCTCTGAGAAGTTGGGCATCCGCGTGGTGGACACCCGCCATGAAGTCACAGCTGTCTTTGCCGCTGATGCTGTAGCCCGCCTGACCGGTGAGGGCAGAGCAGAACGGGGGAGGGCTGGGGGCTGGTGAGACTGGGATGTCTTTGAGGGGGCAGGGTTTTTATTTTGGGGGGGGAGGAACATGGCTGGGAGAGTGGACCCAGCTGTGACAGGGTTTGTGTTCCAGGGACAGTGGGCGTGGCAGCAGTGACGGCAGGCCCTGGCCTCACCAACACAGTGACTGCGGTGAAGAATGCCCAGATAGCCCAGTCCCCAGTCCTGCTCCTGGGTGGGGCTGCCGGCACCCTGCTGCAGGTGCCCTGTCCTGGTGGGGGTGGGGGGCAGGTGGCAGGGACCCCAGGGAGCCCAGAAGTGTTCATGTGTTGACTTCCTGGACTTCTTTCTGTCTCTACTAGAATCGGGGTGCACTCCAGGCAGTTGATCAGATGTCCCTGTTCCGGCCGCTCTGCAAGTTTTGTGCTTCTGTGCGGAGAGTGCGGGATATCATCCCCACCCTGAGGGCCGCGATGGCCGCTGCACAGTCAGGCACCCCCGGTAGGTGGTGGGACGGGGTCTGGGCAGTGGTCCTGCCCTGGGACCTGGGAGACATAGCAGACTGAGTGTTCTCCTGTCTCCATGCAGGCCCGGTGTTTGTGGAACTGCCTATAGATGTGCTGTACCCCTACTTCCTTGTTCAGAAGGAGATGATACCAGCTAAGTCACCCAAGGGCCTCGTGGATCGAGTGGTCCACTGGTAAGTAGCCCAGCTCCTACCACTCCCTCCCACATTCCCTGGCTTCTCCTGCAGATCCCTGCCAGCACCCATCCTTTCTTTGACTCATTCACTGATTTGCACATTAGTTTGAGAGGAGCCAGCTATGGGGAGAGTGTCCTAGGTAAAGGAGACAGCATATGCAAAGGTCCTGAGGCAGGAATGAAGTTTGTGGGTTGGAAAAGCAAAGTGGCCCAAGTGGTGGCAGCAGGTGAGCAAAGGGGAGAAGGGTAGAGGCTGAGCTGAGAGCAGTCAGCAGGAGTGCCTGGGCAGACCTGCAGCTTTGTTTTTTTAAATAAATGGCTGTGATTTTTTTTTTTTTTAAAAGGTCTTGAACATGTTCCAATGTTGTTTCTGCTTTGTGTTTTTTTGGTCTTGAGGCGTGTGGGATCTTAGCCCCCAGACCAGGGATTGAACCTGTACCCCTGCATTGAAAGGCAAAGTCTTAACCACTGGACTGCCAGGAAAGTCCCTGGGGCTTTGTTTTTAATTTGAGAGCCATTGAGAAGCATTGCAGGACCTTAAGCACTGGCATGGGGTACCTGGTTTGGTATTTTATTTTATTATTATGTATTTGACTGTGCTGGGTCTTCACTGCTGTACAGGCTTTCCTCTAGTTGTGGCGAGTCAGGGTTATTCTCTAGTTGCAGTCTGTGGGCTTCTCATTGCAGCGGCTTCTCTTGTTTCGGAGCAGAGGCTCTAGGGCGTGTGGGCTTCAGTAGTTGCAGCTCCTGGGCTGTAGAGTACAGGCTCAGTAGTTGTGGCACCTGAGCTTAGCTGTCCTAAAGCATGTGGGGTCTTCCCAGGCCAGGGATTGAGGATGTGTCTTCTGCATTGGCAGATGGATCCTTTACCACTGAGCCATCACGGAAGCCCTGGTTTGGGTTTTTATTAAAGATCCCTCTGGCTCTTGCCAGAGAGTGGACTTTGGGGTCAGGTGGAAGCTGGGACGCCAGGGAGGAGGTGTGGCAGTCCCTGGGATGAGAGATGATGGTGGCCTGGAATCTAGGTGGTAGCTGTGGAATGCAGAGATGTGGCTGGATCTCATATGACTGTCTGGACCTGCAGCAGGACAGGATAAGGGGACAGTGGGTCCCTATAGGCCCACGACATGGCACAGTTCACTCTGGGGCCTCCTATGGGGCTTTTGAGTGGTGAGTAGCCTGGGTGTTGGAGAGATCAGGGCAGCAGGCCTGGCATGGGATAAGCTTGAAGGTTTTCCTGGGAGAGCTGCAAGTTTCATGGAGGAACTTCTTTCCATTGAGAGGCTATAAAAAAGGTTGTAAGTAGGGGCATAGACTGAGCAGAGGTATGTGAAAGGGATCATTTTTGGTCACCACTGACGTGGACCTGGCTGAAACAGGACTCAGAAAGGAGAATCAATTCTCTTCCTCTTCCCCCTCTGTCCCTTTCATTTGCCTGTCCTTGCCCCTCTGCCTTCTACTACCCCTCCAAATATTTAGTGAGTGCCACTATGTGCTAGGTGCCAGGATGGGCATGAATAGGACAGACAGGTCCCTGCTCCCTGGGCATGTGAGGAGCACCTGAAAGGCCAGCTCATGGTGTAGCAGGTTAACTCACATGTCTTTTATAATAACCCTTAGAGTTAAGACTCAGAGGTATTATTCAGCCCATCTCACAGATTAGGTAACTGAGACTCAAGGCAGCTGAATGACTTGCATGCAGTTGTCTGGTTTGTTAATGGTAAAACAGGGTTCAGCCTGAAGGAACCTTCAGTGCTTAATCCACACAGCTATGTTCCATCTGTAATGTAGCTGGAGTGAAATGAAAGTCCAGAGTGAAGTGAAGTGAAATGAAGTCGCTCAGTTGTGTCTGACTCTTTGTGACCCCATGGACTGTAGCCTACCAGGATCCTCAGTCCATGGGATTTTCCAGGCAAGAATACTGGAGTGGGTTGCCATTCCTTCTCCAGAGAGATGGGTTCAAATCCCAGAACTGCCATTAGCTAGTTGTGAACAAATGATTAAACCTCTCTTTTTTTTTTTTCTTCCAGTTTTATTGAGATCTAATTGACATACAGCACAGTGTAGGTTTAAAGCACAATAATTTGACCTGTGTATACTCTGATTAAACCTTGCTTGATGTCAGCTTCCTCATCGGTAAGGTGGACAAACATTGCTTTTTCTCTTTAGACTAAGATTTTGTGAAAAATAAAGTGAGATTATTTTGATAGTGCAAAGCATATGCTGAAGTAGAAAAGAACTAATCATTATTACCTTAAATAAGAATAGGGCTGAGTCCATAAAAAAGAATGAAATAATGCCGTTTGCAGCAACATGGATGGATCTAGAGATTGTTATGCTGAGTGAAGTAAGTGAGATAGAGATGGAGAAATATCATGTGACATCCCTTATATGGGGAATCTAAAAAGAAATGACACAAAGGAACTTATTTATGAAATAGAAAGGGACTGACAGACTTAGAGAACAAACTTATGGTTGCCAGTGGGGAAGGATGGGGGAAAGGGATAGTTAGGGAGTTTGGGATGGATATGTACACACTGGGTTTCTCAGGTGGTGCTAGTGGTAAAGAACCTGCCTGCCAATGCAGGAGATGTAAGAGGCTCGTGTTAGATCCCGAGGTCGGGAAGATCCCCTGGAGAAGGGCATGGCAACCCACTCCAGTATTCTTGTCTGGAGAATAACATGGACAGAGGAGCCTGACGGGCTACAGTCCATAGCGTCGCAGAGAGCTGGACACAACTGAAGTGACTTAGCATGCATGCACGCACATACACACTGCTACATTTAAAATGGATAACCAGCAAGGACCTACTGTATAGAACAGGGAACTCTCTCAATGTTATGTGGCAGCCTGGATGGGAGAGGAGTTGGGAGAGAATGGGTACATATATATGTATGGCCGAGTCCCTTTACTGCCCGTCGGAGACTATCACAACATTGTTAGTTGGCTATACCCAATATAAAATTAAAAGTTAAAAAAAAAAAAAGAATAGAGCTGAGTCCAAAGCCATACCAGGCATAAGGCAAGGTGTCTCCCAGCCTTCCTCCAGCATGATTAGGGAACTACCCGCCTGAGGCTGACTTATGCCTTGCCTTCTTTCCACAGATAGTTTCCCATGGTTCCTCTTCTCATTTTCTGCCATCTTTACTCCTCCTCAGAAGAGAAACAGAAGCTTCAGGCTATGACTAATTCTATCCAGCTGATGTCCACATATGTGTTTTTGTTTGTGAGGGCAGGAAGGAGCTGGATTAATCTTTGTCTCTAGGGCCCTGCAATGAGCCTTGTGGAGCATCAGGGCCCTGTGACCCAGTGAGTAAGGAGATGTCAGAAGCCAGAGAAAGACAAGAGTACAGATGTTGTCAAATAACTCCCATTAATAGAGTTAATGGGCTTCCCTGGTGGCTCAGTGGTAAAGAATCCTGCTGCCAATACAGGAGACATGGGTTCGATCCCTGGTCAGGAAGATCCCTTGGAGAAGGTAATTCCAACCCACTCTAGTATTCTTGACTGGGAAATCCCATGGACTGAGGAGCCTGGCAGGCTACAGTCCATGGGGTTGCAAAGGAATTGGACACACATGACTTAGTGTCTAGACAACAGTACAATGTTTCGCAAAGTGCTTTATTTTCTGAGTGGATAGATCACTGGACCTTGGGAGAGACGGTCCCTTTTACATCTTATAGAGGAGGAAGCTCAGAAAAGTTAAGTCACTGAACCAGAGTCACACAGGAAGCAGCAGAGCCAGAACCCAAGCCCACATCTGTCTGACCCGGCGGCTCTGGCCCCTGATTCTGGTGCTCCAGCCTGTGGCCCTTATTTCTCAAGGTCTGTGTCAGGTTGGGGTGGTCGCCGGAAGCTTCCAAGGGGAAACAGGCCACTGGACACTCGGCCGCTGGGGTCTGTGTGTCCCTGGGTCATTGCTCATCCACCTGTGTTCCTCCCTGCCTTTCCGGTCCCTTTCTGGGCCCTTCTCCTTCAGCCTCTGAAACCCTGGTAATTGTTCCTGGTAATGGCCTCTTCCTCTTCTCTTTGCAGGTACTTAGTGAATGCCCTGGCCAACCTTTTTGCAGGAGCTTGGGAACCTCAGCCTGAGGGGCCTCTGCCCCTGGACATTCCCCAGGCCTCCCCCCAGCAGGTGACTTACCTCTGTTCCCTGGCTAGGGTCCCCCCCCACCCCCCGCAACCCCCGCCACATGCTGAGTGGCATCTCTTTGAATCAGTATCGGGGCTATCATCTTGGGGGCCTCCTGGTGACCCGAGATCGGCTCTTTGAGCCCCCACCTCTTGCCCCAGGTTCAGCGCTGTGTGGAAATCTTGAGTCGGGCCAAGAGGCCCCTCATGCTAATTGGGAGCCAGGCCCTGCTGCCTCCAACATCTGCAGACAAGCTTCGGTGAGAAGCCTCCGGCCTGCCCTTATTGTTAACGGTCACAAGCCTGGTCCCCTGGTGCCCTGGGAGGAGGGGCAGGCCCTGGGCCACACTCACTTCTGTTCTGCCTGGATCCCCAGGGTTGCTGTGGAGACCCTGGGCATCCCTTGCTTCTTGGCGGGGATGGCACGGGGGCTGCTGGGCCGCAACCACCCCCTCCACTTCCGGCAGAACCGCAGAGCCGCCCTGAAGAAGGCAGACGTGGTCGTCCTGGCAGGTGGGCCCAGTCCTCCACCCTCCCTCCCTTTTCCCTCCCTCTAGGTACCTCCCTGCTCGAGTGACCTTGCCCCCCTAGTTGGGTACTGGCTGGCACCTATTCTCATACTCACCCACCCTCCTACCTCTCACCCCTAGTTTCTCTCCAGGTGGCAGTCGTGTGCTGGGACCCAGCTTTACACAGAAGGGCATGCACAGAGAGTGGGCACTTGTGGGGCTGTGTATACAGCACTTGCATATGTATGCATTATACAGCACTGACAGCCCGTACACTGACTACACATATCTTCTTACATAAAGTGCTCTGAATCCTGCCAGGCACATAATAGTTTTATCCATTAGCTACTGTTGTATGATAACCACCCGAAACTCAGTGGCTTACAACACGCTTATTATTTCTCAAGACCCACGTATGAGTTAGTTGACAGTTTTTCTCTCATTTTGGCAGGGCTCGTTCCTGAGTCTGCAGTCAGGGAGGTGGGAAGGCAGTGGTTGGGCTGCCTTGTGTACTTGGGGGTCGACTGGCTGCCTGACTGGGCTAGAATGGCCTTGGTTGGGGTAACTGAGTTCTCCCTCTCCCCCTACCTCCTCCTCCACATTTCTCATCATCCAGCCAAGTAGCCTGACCTTGTTCACTTGGTGGGTGATGAGAAACATGCAGGGCTGGGGGAACAGGTTATACCAGAGAGAAGGATGGAAACCGCAAGGCTTCAGGAACACACGCCATGGCTTCTCCCACATTCTTACGGGCCAAAGCACCATAGGTCCTTGCGCCAGGCTAGGTTCCAAGAGTGGGGACCTGCAGAGTCTCATCGCAGGTGGCACTGGCACAGGAAGTGAAGGATGGGGACCTTTCTGTATTCAGGCTACCACAGTGGACTGAGTAAGCTGGCGGGCATCCCCCAGGAAGCTGGCCCTCGGTCTGCTGAGACCCTGTCCCCTTACCCCAGGAGCGGTGTGTGACTTCCGCCTGTCCTATGGCCGTTTCCTCAGCCGAAGTAGCAAAATCATTGTTGTCAACCGTGACCGGAAGGAGATGCTGATCAACTCAGACATTTTCTGGAAGCCCCAAGAGGCTGTGCAGGGTGAGCCCCTCCTTTTGTACGTGTCCCTTTTCTTCTGGCCTCTGCTGCACCTGGCTTGAGCTGGGTGCTGGTGACCAAGGTCTGGATCCTGCCCCAGGGGGCACCCAGTTGGCCGGAGATGCATATTTGTCCCTTAGACTGGTAGGTGCTTCTGGATGAACTAAGGGTAGGGTTTTTTTTTTAGAAATTTTTATTGTGCATAAAATGGTCATTCCCCTTCATAGGTCAGTTGTTACCACCTCTAAAATTGTTTAATGTAAACCAGAGCTTCCCAGATGGCGCTAGTGATAAAGAATCCTCTTGCCAATGCAGCAGATGCAAGAGATGAGGGTTCGATCCCTGGGTTGGGAAGATCCTCTGGAGGAAGAAATGGCAACCCACTCCAGTATTCTTGCCTGGGAAATCCCATGGACAGAGGAGCCTCTTGGGCTGCAGTCCATGAGGTCACAAAGACTCGGACCCGACTGAGCACACACGCATGCACACACAGCATGTGTACCAGGGGGAAGGCCCGGGAATGTGCATGTGATCCTGTGTCCTGACTGTACTCTCCCAGGTTGCCTGCTGCCCTGAGGACCTGCCCTGGGGTCTCTCAGTTTTTCTGTCGTGGCTCTCCTACCCCTGTTCAGTCCTCTTCCACAGCCTTTCCATGTCCTGCTTTGCCCATCATTCCAAGGACGCTGACTCTGCCCTCCAGTGGAGGTGACGGGGAACTTGTGTCAAGCAAAGAAATAGCACCATGTGCATTCACGTTTGGGAAGATCCACTGGAGCAGCCAATGGGCAGCAAGTTGGACAGGACCAGGTAGAGGCAAGGCGGCTGTTAAGTCCAGGACAGAAACAATGAGGCCTGGAGTTGGGATGGACAGGGAGGAGAAACTCGGCTTCTCTGAGCCTCTGTGTGATTGTTTCTCAGATGGAGCTGATGAAAGGTACATCGTCATTGGCTTATTTGTTTGCTCTCCAATACCCTGTGTGCCTGGGCTGTCGAGATGTGCTTGGACGATAGAGGTGTTTTTAGTGACAGGTTTCAGAGGCAGAATTGACAGGTCTGTGTGACCCAGGGTGTGAAGGGGGAGTCAGGAGACAGGCTGATGTGTTTCTAACTCACTTTGTAATTTTATTTATTTGTGGCTGCACTGGGTCTTCCCTGCTGCATGGGCTTTTCTCTAGTTGTCGCCAGTGGGGGCTACTCTTTAGTTTCAGAGTGTTGGTTTCTCATTGCGGTGACTTCTCGATGCGGAGTACAGGCTCTAGGGTTCGGCTCCTGGGCTCTAGAGCATAGGCTCAATAGTTGCGGTGCAGGAGCTTAGTTGCACAGTGGCGTGTGAGATCTTCCCGGATCAGGGATCAAACCTATGTCTCCTGCACTGGTAGACGGATTCTTTACCACTGAGGCACCAGGGAAGCCCAGGTAACTCACTTTGTCCTTGCTCTCCCTCTCACCTCTATCGCCCTAACCCTGGTTCTGGCAGACTCTGGGGTGTTTCACCCATTTTGCCTTAGGCTATCCTCCCCCCATCTGCCCCCCCTGCCTGCTTCCTTGCTTCCTGCTCAGATGCCTGTTGGCTTCCTGCTGTCTTTGGGCCTCTGGTGCTCAAAGGGTAGGAGGTCGCCTTCTCCCCACAGCTGTACCCTCTTTCTTCCCCAGGAGATGTGGGCTCCTTCGTGGTGAAGCTGATGGAGGGCCTCCGGGGTCAGACGTGGGCCTCAGACTGGGCAGAGGAGCTTCGGCAAGCCGACCGACAGAAGGAGCAGACCTTTCGGTGGGGGCTGGGTAGAGTGGACTTGGTGGGTCACAGGTTCCTGGTGGGCCAGGCTGCTGGCTCTGCTGACCTGCTTTGCCCTGTCACAGAGAGAAGGCACTGATGCCCGTAGCTGAGCATCTTAATCCGGTGCGGGTCCTACAGCTGGTGGAGGACATTCTGCCTGACAACTCCATCCTGGTGGTCGATGGCGGGGACTTTGTGGGCACAGCCGCCTACCTGGTGCAGCCCCGTGGGCCCTTGTGTTGGCTCGATCCTGGTAAGGGCAGACCTACACCTGGGGCAGCTTGCACTCCTCTGGGCCTCTTTACACCTGCTTTTGGTTCTCCTAGGGGCCTTCGGGACTCTGGGGGTCGGTGCTGGATTTGCACTTGGGGCCAAACTGTGTCGGCCAGATGCTGAGGTGAGTCAGAGTGTGCTGGGGGCAGGAGGCTTGCTGCTTTCTGGGCCGTAAGCCAGCCCAACCATCCTTGGTACCCACCTCAGGTCTGGTGCCTGTTTGGGGATGGAGCGTTTGGCTATAGCCTCATCGAATTTGACACCTTCGTCAGACACAAGGTGACCGGGCGGGCTGACCCAAGGGAAGCTCAGAGCCTGGGGTTCTGGGAGATATCCTCAGGGGTGGGCTGGGGAGGGAGCTCCTTATCTGGCAGAGGTCCTGTCCCTGCCTTTAACCTGCCGCTGGCCAAGCCTTGGGACTGAAGGGCGTGGCCTGGCCGCCTCCTCGCCCTCCTTGCAGATCCCAGTGATGGCCTTGATAGGAAATGACGCTGGCTGGACCCAGATTTCCCGGGAGCAGGTGTCCTGTCTGGGCAGCAATGTGGCCTGTGGCCTGACTTACACTGGTGAGAGGGGCCTGGATGGGCGGGGAGGGGGAACGCCGTTTCAGGGTCAGCTGAATGTGTTTTCCTCTCCTGGGCTACCTGCATGGGGGGCTGGGTTTCTGCCACCGTTCTGACTTGCCCTTCCGTTTTAGATTATCACAAGGCAGCCCTGGGGCTGGGGGCCCAGGGCCAGCTGCTCTCACGAGAGAATGAAGACCAGCTGGTCAAGGTGCTGCGTGACGCCCAGCAGCAGTGCCAAGATGGCCACCCGGTTGTGGTCAACATCCTCATCGGGAGGACAGACTTCCGGGATGGCTCCCTAGCCATGTAGGGCCTCGTGGGTTAGTGCTCTTGGCTCTTTTCCCACCCCTGGACTGTGCCTAGCTGGTTTGGAGTTTCATCCTTGCCTGCCTTGAGCCTAAGCCACGAGGCCCAGTGACCCTGCAATCTTCCCTGATGACAGGGAGGGGCTGGACGGGGTCAGAGCTAAGAGAGGCTCTGACAGCCCTGGGGAGTCCTTGGGTCTGTTTCTTTTGTGAGCTCAACTGTGTCCTTTCTTCCCTCCTCACTTGTTGTTCAGTTGCTAAGTCGCGTCCATCTCTTGGTGACTTCATGGACTGCAGCACGCCAGGCTCCTCCATCCCTCCACTGTCTCCCAGAGTTTGCTCAAGTTCATGTCTATTGAGTCAGTGATGCTCTCTAACATCTCATCCTCTGCTGCCTCCTTCTCCTTCTGTCTTCAGTCTTTCCCAGCCTCAGGGTCTCTTCCAATGAATTGGCTCTTTTGCATCAGGTGGCCAAAGTATTGCAGCTTGCTGTCTCACACATTGAATAAACCACATCTGGTCCATGGGGGCCCAAGTACTCATCCCAGAACCTGTGCATACTGATTTATTGTCCACAAAGATGGAAGTGAGGGAAAGAGGGGGGAGACAGGAGGGGACCTTACTCTCCCACTGGAACTCTGGGGCTCACTGAGGCACCATTACTGGGGATTTCAGGGTGCCTGGACACTGCAAACTCTTCCCCCCATCCCCTCTGTGGTCCCTGAAAGAGCCCCACATACCCACTCTAGACATGTCCATACATGTTACTCCTCACACACAGACACACACGCAGGGAGGCAATAAATATGTTCCGTACCAAAGTGCCCCCAGCCTGACACTTCAGGTGGGGCCCCTCCAAAAGGGAGGTCTTATAAGTGCTCAATTTCTTCAGGAATGGGGAGGAAGAATTGGGGAGGGGAAGGGCCAGACTTGATATCTACTTTTGCTGGTTTGAGGCAATTATGGAGTTTTCCCTGGAAAAGAGGTTGGCGAAACCAGTTGTTTTCCTATAAGCCCCAGGCTGCTCCTATCTATCCAGAGTCCAGGAAAGGGGCTCCCCCCACACCCTGCCTCAAACGGCACTTCTTCATAGTCCTTGGGCCCACTGAGGGAGAAGCAGAGTGCAGTGCTCAAAGCTAATACTGATTTGGTTGGCAGCAGCAAGGACTGGCTGGGAGGGTGTCTCACCATCTCAGGGTGATGCTCACAGTAATTGGTGTTTCCCTGGTTAAGGGGAAGCAAAAGATGCCGGCCCTGCAAGCAGAACTGCCTTTTGGCAGCCAGGAGAGAAGCCCTTGGTACTCAAGAAAAGATGGCCACAATAGCTGGTCCCTAAAGTCCCCCATCCCTGGCCGTCGCAACCAGTGCCCAAATACTGAGTACTGGAAATGAGGAATGATTCTCAGCAACGGATTGGCTGGTCGCTAGGCAACCCCCCAGTAACCAGGAGTTAGGCCTGAGCTACAGGTCTGGTCCTCCCTAGGTCGTTAGGGCACCGCCTTAGCAACCACGAGCCTGGCCTTAGTAATTGGGGTCCAGCCCCACCCGGCTCAGAGACACACGTTGATCTGCTTGGAGAGCTCTCTCTCCAGGTCCAGGATGAGGGCATCAAAGTCTTTGAGGTTCAGGTGAGGGTTGAAGGGCGCCTCGAAGTCGTCGCCGAAATCCGTGGCGCCAGTCGGCTCGCCAGCCTCGTCCTCATCGTCACTGTCGCTGCCCGTCACGTGGTCGTAGTCTGGCCCAGAGAGGAAGTCCCGCCCACAGGGCAGGAAGTCCCGCCCGCAAACGCTCCAGTCACCCGCGTAGCGGTTGCTCGGGGGGCTTTCGGGACCGCCCCGGCCGCGGGGCCGAGTCACCACTTCGGGGCTCGCTAGCGGCAAGTGCAGTGACGGCTGTCGTTTGGGCCGCAGGTACGGGACGAGCTCCGGAGGCTCTGGGGGCCTGCGAGGATCTGCAGTGGGAGAGGGAGGGCTTGGATGATGTCACGCCCAGCGGCGGCACTTAGGCCTCTGATTGGCTGCTTAGGTAATCACGCCCCTGATTGGCCTATCGAAAGGCAAGGCCTTCGACCGGATCGGGATTTCACTGGCTGAGCCAGAACTGGTTGCTCAGGCAACTAGGTACTGGTTTTACTCTGACGAGAGGGCGTGTCTCGGGCTTCGGGCTTCTTAACTGGCCGCCAGAGAAAGCATCGTCTGGGAAACCAGGCTCGCTTCGGCGGCGCGGGGGCGGGGGCCAGCTCACCTGGCCAGGCTTGCAGCAGGTAGTGCAGCACCTCGATATGGCGCTTGAAGTCCACCGCGTTCGAGAGACCCGGGCCAGAGCTGCGGATGCGGGGCCTGGCGGGTGCCTGGCGCGCCGGCAGCAGCACCGGACCGAAGCAAACGGCCAGGTTCTGCGGAGTCATGCGGTTGTGGGCGTGGAAGGAGGAGACAAGGCGCAAGTGGTCCAGGAGAAGCGTCAATGTAGCCTGAGAGAAGAGGGTTGGGAGAGTACGCGGTGGGCAAAGTCGGTTCCCTGTCGCACTCGAGGGAGACTAAGGTGGCTCAGAATGGGGAAACGGAGATTCAGAGTCTCAGCTGGGAGATGATCCTGCTAGAACTTAGTATTAGGCTCCCAATTTGCTGGAGGGAAGACTGAGGCCAAAGGTAACAACTTTGAAATTACAGAACTTGGGCTTGAACCTTCTCCTCTGTGTGTTAGGCAGGGCTGGTAGTAATCTCATTTTACAGATGAGGATATTGAGGCACAGAGGCAGGATCCCACAGCCAGGAACTTCCCTTATGGTAGGTTGACAGACCTCTGTTCAGAGTCTGTTAATTTCAATACATCCTGCCTGTGAAACCTGAGGTCACTTACTCAACTGCCCTGGGCCTTGGCTTCCATTATCTGTAAAGTGGGGATACTAACAGCGCTAGGGTTGTGATGGTGCCACACATTCATGGCCATCACCAGCCCCGACATGGGAGAAACATTCTGCTGATGTCAGTTCACTCCCTGTCCTGCCCACTCTCCCCACCCCCGAGGCCCAACTCACCCTCTCCACATCTGGCAGGCAGCTGAGGAGCTCACGGGTGCCCTCAGTGTTGGACGGAGCCCTACTTGGGGGCCCTCGGGCCATGGCCTCCAGCACCACCTGATAGAGGGGCTGGGTGATGAGTGGGGTAGGCAGCTCCCGAAGATAATCCTTGAGGATGCCTGTGGATATAGGGTCCACACTGGTTAGGGCAGCCCTGGGTTCTGAATCTGGAACTTCAACGGGGGCTGGGAGCGGGGAAAGAGGAGGAGGACAGGTGCAGGAAGGTGAGAACAAGGCCAACAGAAGGGGTGAAGTCCCAGAGGGACTACAGGGACTGCCTTGAGGTGAAGGTTGACTGGGGAGCAGGCAGGAGAGCAAAGGGGCAAGCTGACCGGTGATGACATTGATATCGGGGTACAGGTCCTCGGAGAGGCAGACAGCTGCACTGTCTCGCTCAAAGGCATCGCGAAGTTCTTTCTTCACGGCTGCTGAGCCGCACAGACGGTATAGCCCCACTACCTGGGGGTAGGAGCAGAGAGATGTCTTTTTTGTCAGAGTACAGACTGATGTGGGCACTATGGGGTGAGGGCCAGAGGCCTGGATCCAGGTGGCAATGGGCTGAGAGGTTGGGGGCTGGCTGAAACTTTACTGGCTGCCTTTCTGTTCTTCTGACACCTGTCATGGGGGACCCCATCTGGCTGCTTGGACAACCCAGCCCTGTAAACCCTCCAAATTACTTGTCCTGGCACGCACCTCCTTTGACTCAGGAAACCTTGACTCCTTTTCAGCGTACTTGTCACCTCCTCTGAAAAGCCTTCCCTGACTACCCCAGCCAGTAGGTCAGGTCCTGCTTTAAGCCATCCCAGCTTCTTCATTCTTATCTCAGTCAGTTTCATATATGTGATTTATTTGTCATGTCTTTCCCCCCACCAGACTCTGAGCTGCAAAAGGGCTGGGATCCTATGTTATCAAATGAACAGAGGACCCATGAGTTCTGGGCTAGATGGTAGGATCTGGGGGTGTGTAGGGAGTGCCTGCCCTTGTCTAGGCTGGGATTGGAGCTAAGAGTTCCCCAGGTTGGGTAGAGGGAAGCCTGGCCTCCATACCCTGGGTGTTCTGGAGAGTGGTTCTGAGGTCTGGGGGCAAGCTAGGGTGGGGTGAGGGACTTACCCGCAGCCCTCGGCGCTCGATCTGCCCAACACACTTCTGAATAATGAGAGGCACCTGGCCAGGGGACTGCTCGCGCTCCACCAGCAGGGGCAAGGGCAGCCCGAAGACGCGGGGCTCAGCCGTGCCGGGTGATTCTTGTTCCGACAGGGTCAGCTTGGCATACAGCAGCCCTTGGGGCTCGAGGCGCACGGCCAGCTGTTGGGCCTGGCACCCTAAAGACACAAGGGGGACTTCCTGAGTGGGGTCTGCCTCCATCGCCTCCTGTGCCCTGTCCCCTTGGCCAAGCTACGTCCCCACCCTGGGCACTCTAGAGGAAGGAGGGAGCTGTGAACTGAGTCCAGTTCCCTCCACACCCACCTCTGAGACCATGCACCCTACCTTGGAAAACCGTGGGCAGCAGCACAGTGCCCTGGGCGCAGGGCCGGTGCCGCCGGACACCAGGGTCCCAGGCCAGCACCAGGGCCCGCAGCAGCCGGGCTGCCTCGAGTTCCAGGTGAAAGGTGTGGTCCAGCCGCAGGAAGTCTGGCCCCCCACGCAGCGGCCCGGTTCGGGCCCGGGCCACCCCATCCACCTGCAGCAGGCAGCAGAGGTCTCGCGGAGTGGCCCCTGGCGCCGGCCGCAGCCCCCCCAGCCCGTACAGGTGCAGGCTGAGGCGGCCCCAGAGCGCAGCTGGGGGCGTCTGGGCGGAGGGGCCCACCTCGTAGGGGCGGAAGGCAGTGGGCAACGGAGGCCCCGCGGGGCGCTCGGGAGAGTCGCCGTCACTGAGGTAACCCGCCCGCAGGCCGCGTGCGCCCTCAGCCACTGCTGTCCGCCCAGGGGTCCCCACGCTGCTGTCCAGGTGGTAACGACTGATGACCGAGCCCTCGGGGGCGGCCCCCTCGCGCTCTCGGCTCGTCCGGGTGCTCCGCAGGCTCAGTCGGCGCCGCAGCTCAGGTAGCTTCTTCATCTTCATTGAGAGGCGCCGGGCTGGGCCAGGGGACTTGGTGCGGGAGGCTTTGGTCGGGGGGCTGGCAGGGGCTGTGCCTGTGGGGACAGCAGACCTCAGGGTCCAGAAATCTGGGCTTGGGATGGGGGTGATTATGCTTGCAGTCACCTTGCAGGCCCCAGGGTGGGAGGCTTGTGCTCACCTGGAGAGGCTGGGCTGTCTCCTTCAGCTGAGCCTGGCTGTGGGCCTGGGAGCTCCGGTGCTGGGAGTCTGGGGTCCTCCTCTGGGATGGGGTTGTACCAGATCTCACCGGCTGGCTCCCCACTGCCAGGCAGCCCCGGCCCCAGAGTGGCCTCCTCTGGTGGCTTGGCCCCGCCCAGCACCCAGCGGCGGCTGCTGGGCTCCAGGCTCTGCAGGTAGGCACCGTGAGCCGGGCTCCGAGATGCCTCAGGGCTGGGGGGCCCCTCCGCTCCAGCCTGGGGTCCTTCCGGGGCCTGGGGCTCTGGAGGACTGGGCTCCGGGTGCTGGGCTAGTCGGCCTGGCAGAGAGCAAGGGGAGTGAGGGGCAGCCTCCCACTGCCCCCAGAGCAGCCCCAGCCCAGGGCTCTTCCCCTGTGGCAGATGGGGTGCGCTCAGCCTGGACACTCCCCACACTCATTTGGAATGGGTGGCTGCAGGCTGGCAATCACATCCGCTACCAGCGGCCTGCCCCCAACTCCGCGCCCTAGTGTCCCAAACAGGACTCTGTCGGTCTGCCCTCCAGCCTCAGAGGTCCAGAGGGGTTTCTGTGGGCCTGGGCCCTGCATTCCCCACTCGACGTCCCCATGCCTCCCTTTAATGCTGGCGGGGAGCCCTGCCCTTGTGCCTTCTCAGTGGGTGGCTTCGGGGAAACCACTTGTCATCTGAGCCTCACTGTCCTCCTGTGATATGGAGGGGGTGGGGGGGGCGTGGATTTGAGGCCCTCCTTCAAGGAGACTTCAAGGGATCTCAGCATGAAAGCACTTCCTAGGCAGTCATATCTTGGGCACACACACAGACCACGGTGGATGCTGGCTAGCTTGCTTAGAAGAACAGAACAAGCATGACAGCGAGTGTGTGGCTGCCAGGTTCGCCTTTACCCTCAGCATGTCACTTCGCACCCTGCTGCCTTTCTGTCCAAGCTTTGCCACCATCCTGGAGCTGACCCTGTGTTTTTGACCCCAACAGTTTTTGCTTTCAGACTACCCCCCCCGTCCGCCGCTGCCCCATCCTCCTCTCTCCGACATCCCAGGCTGCTTCCTGTGTGTGTTTGTGCGTGGGCACCGCTGTCTCTTCTCTGCCTTGGGAACCCTGGGAATCTCTGGGAAGACGTCTGGGGGAAGGTCAGATCCGCGAAGTCCTCTGCCTTCCCTCCTTTAACCCCTTCCTTTCGGGGACTTCCCGTCCCATGCAGCTCCCATTTCTTTAAGGTCTTCCATGCCGACTTCCTCCTCTGGTCATCTCATACTTCCACTCCCCGAGTCTCTCTGGGCTCTCATTTAGTAGCGTGGTCCACAGAATTAAGTCGCTTCACTGGCACTGGATAAATTACCCAAACTGCTCCGTGCCTCATTTCCCCCATCTGGGTAAGGCGGCAGTTTCCTGCAGCTGCCTAAGGTGGGTGCAACTGCAGTTGCGGACTAATCGGTAAGCGGGGATTGGGAGGTGGCCCCCACGATCGACGCACCGCCTCTCTCCCTCCTCCGCAGGGTGTACGCCCCCATCTCCCGTCCCTGGGCTCAGGGTGTCGCCAGCCTGGCCTGACTAAGCCCAGTTTCTTAGCCTCCCAGCTCCTCCTCCCCTCCGCTCTCCAGGCGCTCAGCCTCGGCCCCATTTCCTGTCAGGGGTGAGGCCCCCTCCCGGGCCTCCCGAGGAGCCTGCAGCGCTGGCATCCCTGGTCAAGCGCACATAACGGTCCGCGCCCCCTTTCCCCCCCGGCCCGTTACTTCCACGACCCCTGCCTGCCCTGGCCTCCAACCTCGACCCGCAGGGGGGCTCCACGGGGCTTCCCCTGTCCCCTCAGCGGTCCCTCCTTGGGGCCCCGGGACCCTCTTCCGAGCCGGGCGGGGTTCGCGGCCCCTTCTTCCCCACCACTCTCTCTCTCACCGCGCTCCTTCGCGTCCGACTTTTTCCGGGGAAGTTTCTCCCGGCCCCGAAGGCGGGAGAAGGTCTTCCTAAGCAGCGGCTCGGCCATGCTGGGGCCCGGGCCGGGCTGAGTGCGCGCCCCGGGCTCCGGCCGCGCCGCCCCCTGCCCCGCCCGGTCTCCCCGCCTGCCCCCCGCCCCGCGCCCCGCGTCCCGCGCCAGCAGGAAGCGCATTCCGGGAATGCTTGGCCCAAACTTTTTTTTTTTGCCCTTCCCGCGGCCTGAGCGGGCGATGCTGGGAGTTGTAGTCAATAGCCAGGGCCGGGCGGGGGACCTGTCACCGGCTCTTGTCTTTCCTTCTTGTCTTTCCTCCATTAGTGATCGCATACAGCAGGTTCTCTTGAGTATACTTCCAAAAGGCATCCTGCACAAATCCACTGATCTCTTCTCTTTCCTCCCATCCACTGCTCCAGCCTGGTGCAAGCCCTGGCGTCGCTTATTTTGACAACACCCGCTCTTCCCTTAGTTTCCCCGGATGCCACTCTCTTGCCTTCTTCCTCCATCCGGTTCTCTGCTCCCCTCTCTCCCCAGTTCCAGTTACTGCTGCTTTTTAACAAACCACCACAAAGCTTAATGGTTGTAAATCAGCCGTGTTATGCTGCTCACTGATGCTGTGGGCCAAGGATTGGGGCAGGGCAGAGCTGACATTGGTTGTCTCTACTCTTTTGTTGAAAAGATTTCGAGGTTTAGGGGTGACTCAACAAACAAAAGGCCAGGATCATCTGGAGGCGTGTTCACTTACAGGTCTTGCAGTTGATGCCAGGTGTGCGCTGGGACTGTCGCGGGAGCTGTGGACCAGGGCACCTCCACAAGGCTCTTGCCAACAAAGGTCTGTGCAGTCAGACCTATGGTTTTTCTAGTAGTCATGTATGCATGTGAGAGTTGGACCGTAAAGAAGGCTGAGTGCAGAAGAAATGAGGCTTTCAAATTGTGCTAGAGAAGACTCTTGAGAGTCCTTTGGACAGCAAGGAGACCAAACCGGTCAATTCTAAAGGAAATCAGGCCTGAATATTCATTGAAAGGACTGTTGAAGCTCCAGTACTTTGGCCACATGATGTAAAGAGCTGACTCATTGGAAAAGACCCTGATGCTGAGGTAGACTGAAGCAAAAGGAGAAGAGGGTGGCAGAGGATGAGGTGGTTAGATAACATCACTGACTCTGTGGACATGAATTTGAGCAAACTCCTGGAGATAGTGAAGGACAGGGGAACCTGGTGTGCTGCAGTTCATGGGTCAGAAAGAGGCGGTCACGACTTAGTGACTGAACAACCAGCCTCTTGGTGTGAACTGGGTTCCTCCTAGCAGGTCAGTAGTCAGGGTAGTTGGGTTTCTTACAGAGCCACCCAGGGCTTCAAAAATAAACAAAGCAAAAGCTATATTACCTTTCCTGATCCAGTTTGGAGTATCACACTGTTTTACTTCTGGCACCAGATTCAAGAGAAAGGGACACAGACTCTTCCTCCCTCAATGGGTGGTGTGTCACAGTGACCTTGTAACAGTCTTTGTGCAAGAGAATGTGGAATGGGAGATGTTTTTCTGGCTGTTTTGGAAAATTTAACCATCTTACTCCTATATTCCATTCTCCATGCAGTGCCCAGAGTGGACTTAAAAACCCAAAATCAGATCATGGCATGCCCCTGCTGAACAGTCTTCCCATAACTGCTCACTCCACCTAAAATAAAAATCCAGATTCCCACAAATAAAAGCCAGTCCCAGCAAGACTTCTGGCTTCATATCCTTGGTTGTCTTCATCACCCACCGTGACCTCCTGTCTGGCTCTTCTTCACATCAAACTGTTCCTACCCCAAGCCCTTTGCACATGCAGTTCCCTCTGGCTAGGAAGCCCTGGTTCTTCTGAAGCTGCCTCTTTCTCATCCTTTAGGTCCAATGGCATTTCCTGAGGAGGCTCTCACCTCCCTGACCACCTACCATTGTCCAGCCATTATTACATCACTGTGATTCATCTCTTCTTTTTTAAATTAAAGTTTTTTTGACTGTACCACATGACATGTGGGATCTTAGTTTCCCAACCAGGAATCAAATCCATGCCTCCTGCATTGTAAACACAGAGTCTTAACCACCAAGGAATCCCTTTATTTCTTGTAACACTTGCCATGGCTTGAACCCTATAGTTATAGTGACTTGTTCTAGTTTATGTGTCTCCTTGTTCAGACTGGGGCTGCACGAGGTGATACTTGTCTGTCTTATTTACTGCTGAATGTGCAGGTGGGAGATCAGATGGCAGGTGGTAGAGGCTTGGACAGAGGACGTTGTGTGTGTTTGGTGATAATAATCTTGATATAGATCTCTGTGTTTATCCTACTTGGAGTTCATTGAGATTCTTGGATGTGTATATTCATGTCTTTCATCAATGATGGGAAGTTTTGGGGACATTATTTCTTCAACTATTCTTTCTGCCCCTGTCGCCTCTCTCCTTCTGGGATTCCTGTTAGGCATATATTGATATACTTGATGGTGTCCCACAGGTCTCTTAGGCTCTGTTAGTTTTCTTGGTTGTATGTATTTGGGAGAAGTGAGGTTGAGAGGGGTGGGGTCCACACCATCAGATTTGAGGCAACTGCTGACAGTGGAGAGAGGGGTCGGGAGTCAAGACAATACCTCTTCACAAGCTGAAGGGAGGGACTGCAGGACTACGGTCCTTTGGGGGTACTGTAACTCAGAAGAGCTGGAGACTGATGTAGGGGTGAGAGCAGCCCTTGGCTCCACTGTGTGTGTGTGTAATAGGTTGCTTCAGTCATGTCCAACTCTGTGTGACCCTATGGAGTGTAGCCTACCCAGCTTCTCTGTCTATGGGATTCTCCAGGCAAGAATACTGGAATGGGTTTTCAGGCCCTCCTCCAGGGGATCTTCCTGACTCAGGGATCAAACCTGTGTCTCTTACCACCTATATCACATCAAATGATCAAAGAACACTCACAGGTCACATCAATATTTGTTATTACTTGGTAAATGACAGAGCTTCTATATGTTTCCTGTTGCATTTATTTGGTTACCTGTAACTCATTTAATTCACAGTTGGCTATGATTCTTTCTCAGTGCTCAGAAATTATTGATAAGTGAAAACAAATGATCTACAAACTGTACATTATGAAATAATTATGAGTGCTAAGCTTCACACGTGAAGTTTGTACAATAATTCATCTGAATTTTGCTAGTTGCTGTTCAGATTTTGGTTTGTGTGCATGTTTGTGTATTTTCTTTCCTCCAGATATTCACATCATTGGCTGATGTACTATGCTTATGATGCCTGATGGATAAATCAGCCCTCAGCAGATACAGGGATTTGTTGAAATGTAGGCAGAAGGAGCAGGTCAGGTTTGAGTGGAGCTCTACACCTCTGTGGCAGACAGTGGAAGCTGATGAATATGCATTCTACCTTCCTCACCCTTCAGGTGGATTGACTAAAGTGTGTGTTCTGCACTGACTCTCAGAGGTCCTCATGGGATTGAGTCCCAGCAACCCACAGTGGAAACTTGCAGATCAGTGCACTCTTTACTGATTCCCTTCCCTTCCCTGTCTCGCTTCTCCACCTCCCTTTCAGCATTTTGTGTGTGTGTGTGTGTGTGTGTGTGTGTGTGTGTGGTCACTTCAGCTGTGTCCAACTCTTTGTGAGCCTGTGGACTGTAGCCCACCAGGCTCCTCAGTCTATGGGATTCTCCAGGCAAGAATACTGGAGTGGGTTGCCATTTCTTCCTCCAGGGGATCTTCCTGACTCAGGGATCGAACCTGTATCTCTTGTGTCTCCTGCATTGGCAGGTGGGTTCTTTACCACTAGCACTGCCTGGGAAGCCCTTGAGCATTTTCTGGGTCACTTAAAAAAACTATTTATTTATCTATGGTGGTGCTAGGTCTTCATTGCTGTGCGCAGGCTTTCTCCAGTTGCAACGAGCAGGGGTTACTCTCTAGTTGTGGTGTGCGGGCTTCCCATTGCATGGCTTCTCTTGTTGTGGAGCACAGACTCTAGGGCATGGGGGCTTCAGTCATTGTGGCTGGTGGGCTTACTTGCCCTGCTTCTTGTGAAATATCCCAGGACCAGGGATTGAACCTGTGTCCCCTGCATTGGCAGGCAGATTCTTAACCACACTGTACCATCAGGGAAGTCCTTGTAGATCTCTTTCCAAATAAACTCCTTGTCCTTGAATCCTTATCACAGGATCAGCTCCTGAGAGATGCCAAATGAAGACATTCTCTCGAGGCCTCAATTTCCTCATCCATTCAAAGGGAAGAATAACTCCCCCTGTTATGGGAGTAGGAGGTTCTGGGGACGAGGCATGTGTCTGTGGGTTAAGTCCCCTGTCTGCTACCTCTCTGGGGGTCCTCACTTTCTGGGAAATGAAAGATGGAGCTGATTACGGGGAGTTTCTACCACCTCCTGTTGTCATTGCAGCTGTTCCCACACTGGAGACTCACTGGCATCTCTCATCTTCCAGGATGACAAGGCAAGTTCTACAGGCTGCACAGGTCTCTCTGGCTGGGAGTTAGTCCTCAGAGGTACCAAGGAAGGAGTGGCTGCCCAGAGATGTCCACTGGGGCAGCATTGAGGATCTAGAGGGGGCAGAGGGTGGTTGAGTTCCCCCGAGGCAGCTTCCTGAGGCAGGATGTGGTATTGCCTGGAAGGCAATCAGAGGGGGCAGCATATGTCGGCCAGAGCCTCCTGATCACCTGTGAAAAAGCCCTGCCGGACAGCTGTAGAGCTGAAGCTGAGGGACAGAGAGGCCCCCTGTTGCCCGTGAAGTTGTTTTTGTTTAGTTACTAAGCTGTGTGTGACTCTTGTGTCTGACTCTTTGCAACCCCATAGACTGTAGCCTGCCAGGCTCCTCTGTCCGTGGGATTTTCCAGGCAGGAATATTATAGGAATGGGTTGCTATTTCCTTTTCAGAGAATCTTTCTAACTGCAGGTCTGAACTCATGTCTCCTGCACTGGCAGGTGCGATCTTTATCACTGAGTCACCAAGGAAGCCCTGCCTATGTGGTTGTTCTTGTTCAGTCACTCAGTCCTGTCTGACTCTTCGTGACCATCCCCCCTCCCC